TGCTGGCTTCAAGTCGCTAGGTGGCGCCAGAGATCTCTCCTAGAGCCCTTGGGGAGCTGATTTTCCACCCAGTGGGACAGGGAGCAGAGCAGGGATGGTAGGGTACACCTCAACGGCTTTGGGGTGCTGTGTCTGCCTTGTGCCCCACCGTCGTGGGGAACCCACGCCCCTAATTTCGTGCCCCGGGTCTCAGTTCCAAAGCCCTCAGTTCCAGGACGCGGGCTGTAGCCCAGATCAGTGGCGCGGGAATGGCGCCTTTTGACTCCCGCTCCCCTGCCTGGGCGCCTGGTTCCTGCTCACTCCGGGAGGGCCTCCGCGCGTCTCCCCGCAAGCCTAGGTCGTCTCCCCGCAAGCCTAGGTCGCAGGCGTGGGGACCTGGGCAGCTGCGATCCAATCCGCGCAATCCGCGCCGCTTTCCCCGCGCAATCCCGCTCCGCGTCTGTTTTTCCGGCGCACCGCCTTTCCGCGCAGGCTTACCGGGCGGCGGGGCTGTGTGCTGGTGCCGGTCTCCTCCTGTGCGGGGCTCTCTTCAATGGCGCCCGGAGCTCACCTCCGCGGCGGATCCTGCGGGGGTTCTCCACAGCTCCCGTTCACAGGGTGTGGTGGCTGCAATAGTTCCTTTCCACTCACAGTCCCGCTTGCTGCGTCCTTTGTTCTTGTTGGCAGTTTTAGTTTGTTGTTTTCCTCCTCTCTGTGGGTCGGAGAGTGCCGCCTCTGTGGGCGGGGGAGGGGAGCAGGGTTCTGCGCTTCCCTCTCTTCTGGTCCTCTTTTATGGCCACTTTCTTCTTCGGGCAGTTTGCTGGAGTCGTCTGTTTATCTTCCGTGTCCCGGTTCTCACTGGGACCTGCCGCTTTTCCTCCCTATTAACTTTTTTTAATGGGAGATCTTACTCGCAGCGTCTCCTCGCCGCCATGTTGCTCCGCCCCCCCCCCAAGAGTATTTTAAATCTTGCTTTTGAAGTTGGTTTGCTGAATAAAAGTGATAATACAGGCCATCCCTGTCCCATTCACAATCTTATTTTTTTAAAAGATTTATTTATTTATTTATGCAAGCACTGGGTACAGTCAGAAGCAAGGGAGGGTGAGAGAATTCACCAGAGCCAGAGTGGGGAACAGAACAGGCAGGCTGACAAAATACACTGCTGAGGGGAGCAGCAGGTGCGGCAGGAGAGGTCTGCATGCTATGTGGGACCCTTGCCAGTGGTTGGGGATCAAACTGGCGCTGCAGAGGCTGAGGGCAGCTTCGCAGCCCAGTGCTCAACCGCTGCACCACCAGGGGAGGCCCGGACCTGATAAAGATTTTTAAAGGAAAGGTTTAAATTTAAGACTCAAGATTTTTCTACTACCTATTTTAAAGCACTTTAGTTATTTTTAAATGGATCTTGTCAATTTAATCAACATTTTCTAATTTATTAACACAAAGTAGTAATTTATCATATTCTCTTATCATAGCTTTAATGTCCATGAGATATTAAGTGATGCATCCCTTTGAAGATTCCTGATAGAGGCAATTTATGCCTTTTTCCTTTGCAACAGTACTGCAGAGATTCATCAATTTTAATAATCTTTTAAAAGAACTGACTTTATGAAGAGCTCCTTTTAATAGTCCCTTTACTGAGGTAAGCTGGTAGCAGAATCTGTTTTTGTTTGACTGAAAGCATCTTTCTTTTGTGTCCACCTTTCAAGGGTATTTTCACTAACTATAGAATTCTAGGTAAATAAAAATATTTTTATACTCTAATAGGTAGAAAGACATTTTAAGGCAGGAAACAAAACTCTTAAAGTCATAACACAAAGCACGGAACTCAAAAATGTAAAATGCTCTTCAACAGAAGATACATCAAGTTAAAAGATAATAAATAAAATAGCATCAATCCATATGCAAACATGTAAAAAGCACAATACATCAAAATGTCTTACAAAAAGGAAAAATACCAAGGACTCAAAGGAAAACAAGAAAAGCATATAAATGGACAGCCCACATACAAGAGACAAAAATAGCTTATAAACATATGAAGAAGCACTCAATTTTACTGATGAATAAATTAAAACAAGATATTGTTTACTTACTCCATCCTCAAAAGTTTTAAAGAATGCCAAAATTCTGGGGAAATAGCATTCAATATACTGTGAGTGGGAGTGTAAACTAAAGGGCCATGTAGTAGTATCTACAAGTTTTTCCCAACATCCCAGGCCAGGGCTAACCCATTTCCTTTTCTAGTAATCCATTTTCCATTTTGAGGAACCTCTGTGACAGATCTCAGGCTTAGCTCACTCAACCATTCTAAACTCTTTGTATGGTGACTTGCTGAAATCATAAATGACTGGAAAATTACAGGGTCTATTTTCTAGAATCCCTTAATGCTTGGTTCACCAATTGACAGAAGTCTTGTAAAAACAGACCCATCCTCAAAAAGTCCAGCAGATAGAGGAAGGTCAAGCCTGTCCCTCTGCAGCTTTTCTGGCAAGCACGATGTGAAGGCATTTGCTTTTCTTGGCAGGGAATAGAGAGAGGTCTAGGGTCTGCTGCTTAGTTTTATGAGTGTCATCAGGTGGGACACAGGCACTGGCAGGGACTGAACTGTAGCAGTGTGGTCCTAAAGCTGGTCCTGGGTCTTGACAGAGGTGGTAGTCCTAAACGTGCACAAAGATTTCCTGATTCTGGCAGAAACAGAAATTCCTTTAATAAACCAACTTTGACATCTAGGAACATTTTCCAGAAGCTCAGTGCAGACTGGAGCCTTCTTCCTTCCCCACTCTTCCCTATACCAAAATCCATGTATTAAATTCCTTTCTGCTGAACTAGCTAGAGTGATTTCTGACATTTGCAAGTAAATCATGATACAATCTCATTACAGATATAGATTTTTAAGTGGGCAAAAGTTTATAGATGTAAGTTTACTGTACTGTCTTTATAATTAATTCAAAACAACTTAAATCACCACCAATAAAGGTGTAGTTAATAAATCATTGCATATTACATAGTCTTTAAAAAGAGTGAATTATTTCTCCAAATATTAACATTTAAAGATGTCTTTAATATACTCCTTCACTAAATTAACAAATATTTATGGCGCTTCACCTTGATATGACTATGTAACAGCCACTATTCTAGATAAGAGATAAAACAGCAAGCCAAACAAATTTAAAAAATCCTTGCCTTCAGGGATTCCAATGACAACGTGAAATGAGCCAGAGTCGGAAAAATATGTAGCATAATTGAATTTATAAAACTCTTTCTCTCCTCCCTCTATTTTTATGTATTAAGAAAAACATCTAGAAGGATACACAACAATTCCAAAACAACAGTTATTTCTGGGGCTAGGGAATAAAGATTCTTGACTTTTTTTCCTCTGCACTGAAACTTTTTGGAAAACATACTTTTAAAATAAACACAAGAGTTAAAAACTGAAAATATTCTGAATGTTAACCATCAGTAGAATGGATAAACTGAGATATAGTTATACAAAGAAACATTATACAGCAAAAAGAACAAACTGCTATAACAACATCAATGAATTGCACAGATGTAATGTTGAGTAGAATAAACCAAACATAAAAGAAAAGATATTATGTGATTCTATTGTAGGAAGTCCAAGATCTTAAAAAACTAATCCATGGTGACAGAGGTCAAAATAATGGTTACTTCTAAGGGATTACTCACTGAGTGATGGCAAGAAGGGGTGTTCTACAATGATGGGAATGGTGTATTTTATTGTTGGTTACACTGGTGTACAGATATGGAAAAAATCAAGTTATATTAGGAGGTACGTACTTTACTATACATGAATTATAAACCAGTATTGTAGCTGCTGTGCTTCAGCTTCTAAAGGCCAATGGTTACATCTTCAGGGATTTTGCAAGGAAGCTTTAAAACACCATAAATTAAACTATATTAAAAGCACAAGTAATTCTTAAACCTTACTACTTCCAAATTATTTTACTATAGGATAGGTTATTTATAACAACTGTGTCTGTATAGAAATATTATATAATCCACATTTCTTCTCACCTCCATATTCCCTGATGTGACAGAAATGGCTTGAATTTGGAACATTTACACCACAGAAATTGGCAAACACTACAAGTTGGGGCTTCCCCTCTCCCCAAGTAAAGGGCAGTTAGTAAATCATTTACCAGCAAACTGATGTTTACAGTTCAATAACAATGAGTAAAAATGAGGCAGGATCTGTTTTAATTTTTTTAAATAAACTCCATGATTATCATATATAATTATTTTATTTGGGTTTACATATAAGGTGGTAGAAAATACCTTCAAGGGTCTATAAGAATCATTAGGGGTTTTTTTTTTTTAAAGATTTATTTATTTATTTATACAAGCACTGGGTACAGTCAGATGCGCGGAAGGGTGAGAGAATTCACCAGAGCCCAGCTCTCAACCGCTGCGCCACCAGGGGAAGCCCAAGAATCATTAATTTTACTGATGACTTTGAAGGTGCCATCTTAAGGCAAACAAGGAGAGTGATTACATTGTATGATGTTGACAGTCTTTTTAGGATCTTTATTAGGTACCAAAAGTGTCATTTTTTAAAAAGATTTATTTATTCATTTACACAAGAATCAGGGTACAGGCCAGATGTGCAGGAGGGTGAGAGGATTCACCAGAGACAGAACAGGAACAGAACAGGCAAACTGACAAAATACACTGCTGAGGGGAGCAGCGGGCGAGACAGGAGAGTCTGCTTTGCCATGTGGGACCCTTGCCGGCTGGCTGGGATCGAACCGGCGCTGCAGAGGCTGCGGACTGCTTCACAGCGCTGTGCTCAACCACCTGCGCCAGCCACCAGGGGAGGCCCAAAATGTCATTTTTAATGATTTTTTTATTATCATTATTTTAAATTAAAATGATTTATTAAAAATTATGTTCAGTGTATCTCAAAAGAAAAAAATCAATTGGTTTTCACTTTCCTTTTGTCTACTGAGTATAAGATATGTTATCAAAAGACACTGCCAGCCACACATGCGAGGCTCTGCCAATACCTGTATTGGAGAAACAGCAGCGGCTGGAGCAGTCCTCACTGGTATTCCACTGAGGGGACTTCTGGGGGCCTTATGGACAGAAATGTTCTGTCCAGCTCCACCTGCTGAGAACAGAGGTGGAAACATTTACAGTTATTCTAGTTCAACATAGGAAACAATAGTCTCTTATTTGTTACATTTTTGGTGACTAAAAAAGTATCTCAAGAAGCTTATAAAGTATTGTTTGCTTTTTTATCCTTTTCTTCTCTGGATCAGTGTTGAACGGGGGAATGAGAGGAAGATGTTAAACTAAACTGGGCTTGGTCTTAAATGTGGGATGTGAGGAAAAAGAGAATGTGTATGTAATGAGGTGCCTATACAGGAAGGATTAGGCACTGTCTTGCATTATATTAATTTATTCCCATCTTCATGGGCTAAATGTACTCACTGGTCTTTCATATCTTTCACTGTTTGTAGTCTAATCTTAATCTAATTTACTGTAGGTTATTTTAGCAGAGATAATCAGATACATTTTAGGATTAGCTATTTCTCCAGTCTCCCAATACAAGGGGCATATTTTTGCAGCCAAGGGAAGAAATACATTGTTATTGTGGATAGATGCACATTCTATTTATTCTATGTGTGTATTTTTCCCATATATGTAAGTATATTCATTTTTCTCACACATGTAGATAACAACAGACTGAGGCAAACTGTGAGCCAGCCAGCCATTTCCAGAAAAATCTAGGAATGTACTAAGATCAGACATCACACATCAGTACAAATGATCACATGCAAGACCAAGCAGAAAAAAGTCTGACAGCATGTCATAAGATGAGGATGGCCAGAGTTCCAACAAGAAAGCCAAATGCTGGGATTTCACACCTAGTTTCCTAGGAGATGAAATTTCTGACCGACTGGTAATTCTCATGAGATGAGTGAGAAAGCAAATAGTAGTAAGCTAAATTTAATAGTAGTAAGCTAAATTTAAGCTAAGACTTAGAGGAAAGTGAAAAGCAGGAAATGGAAGGAAAGAAGAGGTACGAAAGAAAGATGTATATTACCCAGAAGTTCCATCTTTAACTCACTGGGGCTTTAGCCAAGCTGCAGCAAATCTCTTGTATATAAGTGGCTGCATGTGTCATGATCTACAAAGAGCCCTTGTGGTTCTATCAAATTGGGACTTATATGGAATAGAGACAAGTTTGATATGTGGGGATACACTATGATTCTGCAGTTTTGTTTATAAGACAAAAGGATTAAATACCTGGGCGTCCCAAATCAAATGACTTGATAAGTGACTTAACGGTGGTTGCTGACTCAGAAGGTGTTGGAGATGTTCTGTTCACATAAATGCTGTGCCACCGGCCAGGAGCATCGGCCTCAGAGGGCTCTGAGTCTTCATTCACAGGTCTGCATAGTAAAGAGCAAATCACATTGAAAAAGTGGAGGATGTTCCCAAGGGAAAGAGACACAGATGAATAAAGGACATGGAGAGAGATAAACAAATCTGGACGATGAGTTCCAAATTTAAAATCCTGTTTACTCTATCAATTTTGCATCTTTAGGAAATAATGAAGTACTCTATCACCATTATTATCAGAGATGTTTCTTGGGTATAGCTACAAATAATAAAAGTGTATGTATAGTGACTTGACATTAACTCTAAATAAAAAGGATGTGACTCTACTTTATAAACTGTATTTAAAGAAAGGAAAAAGGAAAGCACTATACAAATGCTATTTATGAAATATTTAGCTTACTGCCCATGGTGGATACTAGGGATTGGCTTGTCAATATGTATTCCAACCCTTATCTAGCATACAGAGGTTAGAAGGATGAACTCTCAGGACTCCTTGCTCTGCAGCTAGATTTCAGAGGTGACTAGGGTTCCAGCAATCAGAAACCTGAGTAGGGTAAGATGGCAGGGCAAAGTGCATTTGCTATGTTGATCCAAAGTGTTGCAGAGACAAGATGCTTCTGGAGTTGGTAACTGTGATAGCTCTTCACCTGGGCAAGCAGCTTTCTGACTTTAAGACTCCATTCATGGCAGCAGCAGCAGCTCCCTTGGTGGCCCAGTTCTGTATTGTGACTTTGGACACTGTTCCTTGAAGCTCAGCCCAGAGTTTGATAATTTTAGCCCTTTGATAAATTTAGCCCTGCAAAGCCATTCACTACCTTTCTGCTTAAAACAACTGCATTCTATTAAGTACAACAGAATCCTGCCAGCCAAAGAAATGCTTGCCTTCCCAGAGTGAGAATGGCAATAATACTTTAGAATACCCTGCAACTCTACAAGAGATAAAGTTTCTAGTCTCACCCAAATTTTCCTGTTAAGTTCTTAGTGTGGTTTCTAAATTTCAGCACAGACTTACAGAGAGTTTTTTAAGGACAGATCATCTGATTCAGTCCTCTCATGTACGGCTTCCTCATCCAGGGGACTTTAACAAGTCAGTTAATCTCCCTGTGAATAAGCCAGGACAAGATCTCCCAATCTTCTGATTTAAATGACTGCTCTTTTTATTATATCAAATTGCCACAGCAGTTTTGCAAGAAGATGAGTAATTTATGAGAAAGGTTCAAACAGAATATTTCTGGCAATATATTTTAATAAGGTCAGTGGAAGTTTAAAATATTTATTTACTGATCTTTTTGAAATTAGGCCAGCTACTCATAAGCTTCTGGGGTTGAAATTACTTGTCCTTAATTCTTTAGGCTTTCTTCTGCTGCTCTGTAGTTAACATGAACAGAATAAATTTGAGTAAAAGAGAATGTAAAACACTTAAACCACACTGTTCTACATTTTTGTCTCCACAGGCTCTTCTTTTGGGTGAAAAAAAACATTAGTAAAATGATGACTTCTTTGAAAGAAAACATCAGACATTTATTTCACAAATTGGTAGGGGGTTATGTTTAAAATAATTTTTTTAATTGAATGGAGGGTGGTCTTTATAGTTCTCTTCCTTGCGTTATAACTATAAAGCAGGTACAGAATATGCAGAAAGAGAATGAATCACGTTAGGCACAAGCAGAAAAGAAATCTATTTCTAACCTAGTCACTCTCGGGAAGGTCAGAAACAAAGTGTGTGTGACTTTCTTAGAAGTCATTACATGGCTCACTACCTGATGGCCTTGCCAAAACTTAGGGCATCCCAAAAAGGAAGATCATCTTTAAAAATTCAACTTTATCCCATCCCTTGACAATATAAGAAGAATGAAATGGAAAATTCTACATTTTGTTGAGGTATTCCCTTCAGTTAATTAGATTTATCTGACTCAAAACATCAAATAATGAAGTAGGAAGACTCATTTAGACTCCACAAGAAAATAGGTAAGTTATAAGAATCAATTCCCAGTACTTCTGCCTTCAAATATCTAAAGACAATATTTCAAATGCCAGTCTGCTTGGATAGAACTACCAGAAGAGTATGAAAAAACACTGCAAGTTGTATAAATATATTAGAAAAGTTATTGATCTAAATATTGACCATATTATATAATGGGTGTATATGTGTGTGTGTGTGTGTGTGTGTGTGTCTGTGTGTTATTAAGAATGCTATTGGTCTTACTAGTACTTTAATCATATATAGGTTTAGAATTGATTAGGATCAATGGATCAATCTTAGCAGTACCAACAATAAGCAAAGTTATATATTTTCTTTATTCCAAGAAAGAGTAAGAACTCTCTATAGTTAACCCTTGAACAATATCGGTTTGAACTGTAGGGTTCACTTATGTGTGCGTTTTCTTGTAAACAGACAACACAAACTTATAATATCGATAAAACAATACAGTAATTTCTCTTTCTTACGATTTTCTTAATATTTTCTTCTCGCTATAGTAATTTACCTTACTGTAAGAACACAGTATAATATATCTATAACATATAAAATATGGGTTGATTCTTTATGTTATCATCAACAGCAGATTATTAGTAAAGTTTGGAGAAGCCAAGTTAAGTACAAATTTTGGACTGGGTAGGGTGGGAGGTAGGACAATGTTGGTGCTCCTAAAACTTGTTGTTCAAGGCCAACTATATTCTGTAAAGGATATTAAGAAATACTTAAGCATATACCCAGCTGTACTATAGCAAAGTAGTAATTGTCAGAGTTCAACAGACTCTTCTGAATTTTACTATGACTTTCAATATAAGCATATAATCAAATAAACAACACTTTAAGACAGCAACTTGATTATAAGCATTTTAATTTCAAATTCTAACTGTAAGAACCAAAGAAATTTATCATCAAAATCATGCATCAGCACTGAAATCTACAGAAAGATATCATTCTCATACGCTAGACTTTGAAGAATTTCTGCTACACAGAAAACAACTGGGGAGGAAAAAATGGAAAGAAAATATTTTATTCCCAAATCCCTTTCAAAGAAAATGAAGATATGGGAAAAACCCCACTAATATTCTCTAAACTAGAGATCTACACTTGGAGCTTGGAAAGCCTGGAGAGCCTGCAGAGCATTCTAATGCAAATCATCAGTGACATTAGATATGACTATCTGAAGAGGACAGGGATGGTTTATTCCAGGCACAAAGGAACAAAGGACAGCAGCAAAAGAGCAGATCAGAAAGAGTCAAGGTACACCCTGAAAGAGTACAATGGGCCAAGCAGCACTAGACCCAGAAAGCTTGTTCCCACATTCCAGTTGCACCAAGTAGAGAAGAAAATGGACACATATGAATATCCCCCCAATAAGCAACTATTCCTTTTGTACTCCATGTGTGCATCTGTGTCTCTGTATATGCAACATAAATTTAGTTTAAGGAGCCTTCTCTCTAAGATATGAAAAGATTTTTAAGAGGATGAGGCATATTGAATAGATCTAAGTAGAATCTATAGACACTGATCTCAGGCAAATTTCAGCCCCTGATATACTTTACCTATTTAAGTAAGAGTAATTGATGGATAAAAAACATGCCTGATCTACAAAAATATTTCATAATAGAAAATGAAGAGAATTTGTTAATTTATGACAGATACAGAATTTTAGACAATTGATAGTATTTGTTTTGAGAATATAACAAAAATTTAAGAAAAAATATAAAATATGGCAGTCTTAACTGAAAGACTATGTTGATTAAAGCAATCAATAAACTCATGAAAATATTTTAAAGCAGAACCAGTTCATGAAAAAATAAATAAATGAATAAATAAATGAATAAATGAGGGCATATTTAGAAAAGTCTACCTAACTACAGATAAAACAAGCAATGTAAAAATGGGATTTCAATTCAGTGAGCAAAGGATGCTTCTGGTAATAAATGGTGCTGTTGTAATTGACTGTCCATCTGGAAGAAAAAGACCCATACTTTGCATCAGATTAAGTGAAGAAAGGCAGATCAAATATCTGTGCCTGAGTGTGTAATAGATGAGAAAATTTAAGAGTCTAGTTGTATAAGATAAGGGTAGGGGAAATCTTAGACAAATACAAAAACCCAGAGGCAATAAAGGAAAACACTAACCATTTATGTTACATAACAATAGAAAAAATTCCATATATAGATGATAAAGCCAAAAGTCCTATAATATACTGGGGAAAATACACCTCTCTAAGAAAATATTGATTTATAAACTGGTAAGAGAAACAGCACAGTGAAAAAATAAGCAAAAATGCTAAACAATTCTTAGAAGAAAAATGCAAATGATTAATACACATATAAATTACGCTCAAAGAAATGTAAACCAATGACTAATGCAAATTAAGGACATACTAGCATTTTTGCTTATCCTGTTGGCAAAAATTAAGATTAATACTATCCATAGCTGCTGAAGTTGTATATAAATGGGCACTCTCATAAAGAGTAAAATGCCCCTTGTCTTAGGTAAATAATGTGGTAATATTAAAATTTAAAACACATCTTCTAATGCAGCAATCACATTTTTTAAGAATCCATTATAGAAAAATAAAAACAAAACAAGTATATAAAATTATATGAATAAGGATTGCCATTATGGTATTATTTGGAAAGAAAAGATACTAGAAAATATAAGCTTGATGCTCACCAGTATGATAGTATTTGAATATTCAAGGGTACATCCATCTTCTGAGATACCGTGCAACTATTAAAATGAGTTAAATTTGTTTATGTCAACCTGGAAAGATGCCTCTGATACATTGTTAAGTGAATAATGAAAGTGGAGAGTACTGTATAAAATATAAGCCCATTATTGCAAAAAAAAATGTAAAGGTGAACCCCATATATATTTATGAGTAAAATGAGGGTAAGGAAAAATATACATAAAAGTTAATATTTTCTTTGTACATTTTCATATTACTACCAGTATACCCAAATATTACTGCATAATTAAGAAATCCAATACATTAAATCACCAGTTTCTTTGTTTTTAAATTTTAACATGACAAATCTAGACTTGAAATTCATGTACTATATATTT